GACGACGGACTACGAGGTGTGCGCTGGGGACAGCCGGCTGACGCGAGCGAGGAACACGACGACCGGTACGACCAGGACGAGCAGGCGAGACAGGACGCGACGCAGGCTCACGACGCTCAGCAGGACTACCAGTCTGCTCAGTGTAAGGAGAAGGAGCAGGCAGCGGTGAGCCAGGCTGTAACGGAAGACCAGTAGACGACGGGAGAGTAAGAACCTGACGAAGAGCAGAGTCAGACGGCGGCAGAGACGACGGAGACGGTGGAGCGAAGAACAGTCGTGTCGGCGCAGCTGCGCCAGTACCGGCAGCTCCAGCAGCTCCAGTACCTCCAGCAGCTCCAGCACCTCCAGCAGCTCCAGTCCCAGGGTCTCCAACCTCAGTGTCTCCAGCAGCAGCACCCCCAGAACCAGCACCCCAAGCCCCAGCAGCTCCAGTACCCCCAGGACGAGCACCTCCGGAACCAGCGACTCCAGCAGTAGAGCCCCGGGCACCAGCAGTGCGACCCTGACGGCGACCGTACTGGTCCTGCAGCTGCTGTGAGGTGAGAGGCACACGTGGACGAAGGCGGCTACTCCAAGGAGACCGCGCAACAGCAGACTCAGAACCCTCAGCGCCAGCACCCCCAGGCTCCTCACGCGTAGGCTCAGTACCCGTAGACTCGGCACCCCCAAGCTCAGCACCTCCAGGCTCCTCACGCGCAGGCACAGCACCCCCAGACTCCGCACCCCCAGGCTCAGCACCTCTAGGCGCCTCTCGCTCAGGCTCCGCACCCCCAGGCTCAGCACCCCCAGAGACAGCACCCCGAGCAGGACCACCTCCAGCAGGACCTGAGTCACCAGTGACCTCAACAGGCACAGGTACCGGAGGGTCTACCTGAGAAACACCTGAAGGAGCAGGACCTGGCGCGGGGAGGGGGTCTACCTGGGGAGGACCTGGAGCGAGAAAGAGCGGCGGGGGGGGGCGAGAGGCAGTGCGGTAGGGAAAGAGACGGTAGAAGGGAACAGACTCGTCAAAGGTGACGTCCTGAGACGCAAAGACACGGCGCGAGGTGGGGTCGTAAAACTGCCAGCCAGGCGCGTCAGGAGGAAAACCAAGGAAGACGCAGGGAACGGCGCGAGCAGAGAGCTTGTCCGCGGTGAGATCGCGGACAAAGGCACGAGCACCCCAGACCCGGAAACGCGACGCATCGCCAACCTCCCCCGTCCACAGCAGCGTGGGCGAGGTCTCCGGCAAGGAGACACGGGGCCAGAGGTTGAGCTGATGCGCGGCGTACCGGACCGCGAACGGCCACAGAAAATGGGGAGCCGCCGCATGGATCATGGAGGTACGAGCGACCTCCATGACTAAGCCAATGCGGCGCTCAGCAACCCCATTCTGCTGCGGAGAGGCCGGAAGCGTGAACGACTGGGTAATGCCGTGCTCCGCACAGAAGGCTGCCAAGAGGTCAGAGGAGAACTCACCACCTCTGTCAGAGTGCAGACGCAGGACAGGGAAGTCCCGCTCAAACCGCTCGCGGAGCTGGAGACGCACAGCGCGGATCCAGGGGATCAAAACAGCAGGGACGTCCCCCTTGCTGCGCAAGGGGAAGACCGTGGTGTAACGCGTGTAGTCGTCGACAACCAGCAAAAAGTACCGCTCACGGCCCTGTCCCTGGACGCGGGCTGGGCCCCACACGTCCAGGTGGAGCGTCTGCAGGGGAGCCTCTGTGGGAGGAAACGAGGAGGAGTGAGGAGCGGCGCGCTGCCGCCCCTCGACGCAGGGAATGCAGGGCGGCGCAGGCGAGGGAGGGAGGGCAGGCAGAGACCTGGGGAGACCAGAGACTAGGGAGCGAGAGTGCATGCCACGAAGGCGAGGAAGGGAGGGGTGACCAAGGCGGTGGTGCCACAGAAGCGTGTCGTGCGACAGGCGGCGGCACTCACACTGGGTAGCTACCTGAGCAGACGCGTACAGCTGAGGAGACAAAGGAGTGGAGCGTGAAACAGTGGTGAGGGTGTACAGACTAGACCCCGGCTCACGAGTGAACGTGGCCAGGTGGCGGCCAGTCTTGGAGCACGTGCAGATCGCCACACGCTGCCCTCCAGGAGTCCAGGTGTCAACCCAGTGATCCTGGAGGACGGCGTTGCTCACCAGGTTCGTAGAGAACGAGGGAACGTGGAGACCTGACAGCTCACCAGACGGGACCGCCGGGCACGAGAGCACAGTCGTGGCTCGTGCAAGCACTGGGCCCCCAGAGGGGTCAGCCAGTGAGACAGGGACAGGTGCAGGGAGGGGAGTGACGGTGGTGCTATCGCGAAAGAAACAGCGGGAAGCACCAGAGTCAAGTGTAAACGTGTGCAAGGCCTGAGTCGACTCAGTACCACGGGGAGCAGACTCACTAGCACCTAGGGCTGCAGCCTCTATACCGGGGTCAATACCAGGATCAGGCGGCACACACAAGTAGCAGTCACCCTCAGCACTAACAGTCAATGCATACATAGCAGCAAGAATAACATCATAGTCCAGATCAAAGATAGGCACATCACGCCTAAGCAGCTCGGCCCAGTTGGGGAACTCAGTAGCATCAGGATACTTGGCACGCCAGGCGTCACTAAGCCTGGCAAAACAACGATACTCAGTGTGAAAACCGTTGCAGGGGCGACCCTTGCGGGGGCCAGTACGAATGACATAGGGGCAGCGGTCAGAACCCCGAGACGCCCCACGCCCAGCATACCAGTCATTGAGCTGCTGGGAGGTGAGGGGAGGAAGCTGCTGCTGCTGCTGTGGCTGCTGCTGCTGCTGGCCACCCTTCTGGCCAGATCCACCCCCACTCCCACCTCCACCGCCACTGCCGCTGCCTCCTCCCCCACCACCGCCGCCGCCGCCTCCACCGCCCCCGGTCCTGCCGCCACCCCACCCACCGCCTCCACCCCCACGTCCACCCCCACCACCTCCACCACCCCCGCCGCCTCCACCACCGCTCCCTCCACCGCCACCTCCGCCACCCCTGCCACCCTTGCCGCTCCTGCCACCACCACGCTTCCCACCAGGAGTGGAAGCCGCTGCGACCTTCTCCGCACCGAGGAAGTCGACAGCAGTAGCAGCAGAGGCGTAGGAGGGGTCAAGAGGGGAGGGGGAGCACCCCTCAAAGAGGGGAGTGCGGGGAGTGCCACGAGCAGCACCGACAGCGAGGATGTTCTTCTCTGCTGCGACCAGCTGCTGCTCGAAGTCGTCCAGAGTGATAGTTGGAGGATCCTTGGCAAGGAAGTAATCCCTGACAGAGCGAAGAGTGTCAGGGAGGCGGGTGACGAGGATGTAGAGGGTGAAGTACAGCGGGGGGGTGTTCGTGGCGAGGAACTCGGCGGTAAGAGCGGCTCGAAAGCGGGCGTCACTAGCGCGGAGGTGAGTGATAAGGTCGGCAGCAGTGTGAAACGAGGCTAAGTCTGGGAACAGGTATGGCAGGATGAGACTACCAACGGTGGCTGTGGCCGGGGCGGAATAGCGGGCAACGACAGCATCATACAGCGTCTTGGCAGTCTTAAGCTGGTTGAAATGCGCGCGCTCAGAGATCGGTAGGTGATTGCGAATAACAAGGCGTGCGACTGCGTCGCGGAGCTCCCACTGTGCTCGTTCAGGGGCAGGAGCAGTCTCAGCTGGAGTAGGGACAGTGCCAGTGACATAGGCTAGTAGTGATACTCCGTCTGCGACGTCAGTCATAAGGTAAAGTCGCAGATCACTAAGCCAGGTGTCAAACTCGATGGGGCGGCCGTCAGGCTCAAAGGCGAGAACAGTAAGGGTCGCCATGGTTGCAGCGCAGGCAAAAGTAGCTGGCTCAGGCAGCAGGCTCAGGCAGCAGGCTCAGGCAGCAGGCTCAGGCAGTAGGCTCAGGCAGCAGGCAAAGGCTGCAGGTTCAGGCAGCAGGCAACTGTAGCAGGCAGGTGCGCAAGGCAGACGGTAGAGGCGCAAGGCAGGCAAGAAAAAGACAGGGTAAACCCTAAACCCTGGCGGCAGGTACAGGCGGACGCAATGCACGGGGCAGCAATGCGCTGTACGAGAGGCAATCGCGACGTGCAGGGCCTAGGCGGGCCGCGCACGGACGGTAGGTGCAGCGCGCAGCGCTGGAGTGGGCCGCGCAGGCAGCAAATGCGACGCGCGGGGCGGAAAAGGGGCTGCGCGCGAGCAGCACATGCGACGCGCGGGCTGCAGACGGGCTGCGCGGGGCCTTAGCGGGCTGCGCGAGGCAGGGACGGGCCGCGCACGAGCTATGCGGGCTCAGAGCGGGCTGCGCGGGCGACGGACGGGGCGCGACGCGGCTGGCAGCAGCAGTGCGCGCTAAAAAAAAAAGGCGTGCGCGCGCAGCCGAGGCGCGCGCGGGCAGCAGGCTAGGCAGACCAAAAGGCAAGGCAGGTAGGCAGGCCGTTGGTGAGGTAACTTAGTAACTGGTGGGCCCTTAAACTTAGGTCCTAAGAACCTGCTCTAGATGCCATGTCGAGATAGCTAGGCAAGGTGGTTCGATTGACGAGAGAGTTTGGTACATGACACACAACCCTAAAGTGTTATCCCCTATAACATCTACCCCACTACAGCCTACCAATATATATCACACATATATATCATTTGACACGGGTGAGTGCGCCCATAACCCCCCAGGCCAACGTGCCTGTAACCCTTCCCTAGGATCAATCGGGGATCACCAGTGGACCTCTGACAGATCTTAGAACAAATCTAAGGTGTGCCAATTCTGTCAAGTCATGCCGTTGGCGGTCAGTCAGAACTTGAAGAAAAGGGTGGGTAGGTATCGAGCAAAGGAACAGAACACTCACACTCAATAGCCCAGCAGCAGCATTTACATGTGCTTCTAGAGAGGCAACATTACCCTCCTCACAGCCTTTCTATGGCCTCTCTCATCTCAAAAGGCTCACGTGAGTTTTTGTAGAGGTGCAGTGCAGTGCATTGCCATGAACAGATTACTGTACACTGTTGGCGCCTGTTATTCACAGTTGACACCACTACACCACCGCCACAGTCACCATTTTAAAGGCGGCTTCGAGGTGGCATGCAAGCATGAAGCAATGTTGGCACCTGCTGCTGTACCAGCAGCACTAACATCAGCTGCTGCTGCTGCTGCTGCTGCTGCTGCTGCTGCTCCCACACTGCCGCCACGCCCTGAAGCCACACCACCAGCAGCAGCAGCACCACCACCACCAGCAGCAGCAGCAGCACCAGCTACAATAATGTTTCCGCCCAACTCTACATCCCCAGGGTACGGAAATGATGAAGATGCAGATATTGAGTCATCCTCAAACGAACCATTGGCAGATGCAGCAGCCTGAACAAAGACTGTGGGAACACGAGCTGTGGCAGCAGGGGAGCAGGCGGAGGCAGCAGGCTGTGGCAATGTTCGCCCCGCCCACGTGTGCGTGATGACAGGTGGCGGAGGGAGAGGCCTCCCGGGCACCTGGAAACCGGGCAGCTGAAAACCGGGCAGCAGAAAATTGGGCAGTTGAAAAACAGCTGTGGCTTTAACAGAGACAACACCACCATCCCCACCAGCGGCTGATCCCATTCCCCCAATGGGCCGCATGTGAGCAGCAGCTGCTGCTGCAGATGAAGTGGTTAGACCCCCAGGCTGAAACATTGCAGAAAGCGCAATCTCAGGCGAAGCAGAAGCAAGGTAACAGGCTTCTGGCTGCTGTTGAAGGCGTTCTGATGCGGGGAATGGTGCTTCTAAAACCTCGCCGCGCGCAGCAACTGCGCGTGCGGAGACATCCTGGACAGGAACAATTGCTGCTCCCTGGACTGCGTGTGCTGCCGCGACTGCGCTCGAGAAAACATCTTGGGTTGGCTCGACAGGAACATTTGCTGCTCCCACAGATGCTGCTCCCATAGACGCTGCTCCCGCATATGCTGCTCCCATAGATGCTGCTCCTGGGGCCGCGTGAGGTGCTGCAGCAGCCAGGTAGACAGCTGGGCCAAAGAGCTGGCCTGGTGGGCGAGGAATGAGATGACCGGGATGATAAGATGAGGCGCGTGGATCGGGCAGGGACATCGGGTGTTGCTGGGGTTGGGAGAAGCTGGGGAAGAGATGCTGTCTTGGGGAGATGGTTGAGGGGAAATGGTCAGTGGGTACGCCGCCTCCAAGATTCCGGTAGTGCTGCAGCATCAGCATTGAAGCACTGATTGGCTGCTGCGGCGGCTGCTGCTGCTGCTGCTCATCACCATCCAATTCCATTCCTGGCGTCAAAGCCTCGTCATGATTACCATCATAAACATCCTCACGATTACCATCACCTTGACTTTCATCGTGATTGCTGTCATGCACATGGTTTACATGACTGGTGGTGCCGCTAGCGCTTCCCGCCTCCGGATCATCATTAGTCATAACTTGCTCTTGATGATGGGCATGAATCGTCGTCCTGCTGGCCGGAATTCGCCTGAGCTGATATGCAGGAGAGACGGACCGCATCACCTGCGTGAATGACGCCGGCCGCCATGCCGCCGTGGCAGCAGCGGATGCAGTGTGAGATTGACGTTGCTGCAGCATCCTTCTGTCAGGCATGGCGCCGGCTGCAGAAGCTTCCAGACGAAAGTCTGCATGATGACCATGATAACCATGTTCATGATCATTATAATCATCACCACCATCATCAGAATGATGATGATCATCAGAATGGTGACCCAGCATCATGCTGTCAGGATCATCTGGAACAAACCCTGATGCATTCGTGTTCCCTGATTCATCCACGTTCAAGTTCAATCCTGGGAAAGAGCTGAGCCGCTGCTGCCCCGAGCCCAGTAGCAGTAGATTATCGGAGCCACCGTAAGAAACTCCGCCGGATGTATCAATGATATTATTATTTCCTCCTCGGTCTGATGATGACGGAAGAATGACGGAAAATTCAGCCAGCGGAGAGACAGGATCCGACTGAAGGTGCATGATGGATGGTGGCTCGTTCCCGTCGATTTCAGATCTGCGGCATCATGCGGCATATGATATGATCACACAGCAGAAGTGAGCCTGCATTTTCGCGTACATAAATTATCCCCCGAGAAAAGGGAAAAAACACAAGCTTTAAACTTGCACAGAATAAATAAAATCAAAAGACAGACGCACCCTTGAAATCGAAAATCCGCCACGGTTGGGAAGGAGCCTTCGAATACCGATCTTGGTCTCAATCTCGGGATACCTTATCAAATTAGTAAATAAACTTGACCTTCGATTACTAGGACAGGACTCCAGTGAAGGTGCTTATCATCAAATTAGTACATAAACTCAAAGGGCTACTAATAAGGGAATGCATCTTGTGGCAAAGGAAAGAAGCTTCCAGTGTAGATGAAAGGAACAGCGTCACGACAATTTGCCATCTCTGGGACATATACTGTACTGGTGCCTCAACTTGTTTAGAGTTCAGATTAGAGAATCTACCAATAAATCTGAGAGGCAGAAGAAATGCAGCACTGCACACACTGTGCAGCATTGCTGGTTTGTGCAGGAAGGAGCGTTGAGTGAACAAGGGTTTGTGTAGCTGGTTGTGTGCACTCTTTCACTTCATATTAGTTCCTAGTGCTGAGATGGCTAAAGTGACTCAATACTGAAACCACGGCTTAACACAGGGAACCATTCTGATACCTACAGAACCTGGGTGATTTTTGATATGTTCCGATCAGAATGTCTTGTCCGCTTTTGTTGTAGAGAATCCGTACCTCCCGTCTGGCTCGCAACTTGGGATTTGATGGTCAAAGAGAAACAGAGCCAGCAGAATTCTACACGGCCAGCCCTCCAGGCCTGTCGCGGAGAATTTGCCCTTTTTGCCCTTGAATTCACGTGCTTGTTTGAGCCCAACTCAGAGAATTCAAGTGCTGGCTTCGAGGCCAGCCCTTTTTCCTTAAGGGCTGGTCTAGTCCTAACCCGGATGACGTATATGTTCAGAGCCCTTCCCCTCCCCTACCCCCTTGCCCCTTGTTATTCATTCCCTCCTTACTTAAAACACCTCACCTACCGGTCCCCCGCTGCATTGAAGATCGGGTTATGTATCTGCTATGTACCGCAGACTTATGTGTACTTGAACATCAATCTACAAAACACGATGTGTTTACGATCAAGTGCAGAAGGATATGTAGCCCTGAATACAAATGTTGAAATCGGACTCAACCCGGAAAATTAAGGGCTGAAATTAGGCCACCTCAGCCAGCTAAGTTCTTCAGCCAGGGCAAGCGACAGCCCTGCAGCCCACGCACTTTTGATCTGACCAGAAAAGTACACCTGGCAGCCCAAACGGCACTGATTGATGATGCATTTGTCCCAAGCCCCAGCAAATTTCAGGCGTGGTTTGGACGGGCTCCAACAATGTTTGAGCTTATACACTATTCTATGACATTCTTGCCGGTACTGTATTGCCTCCTCCCAGCCCAGGTGCAAGCACCAACCCCCAAAGTCGAGTCTGGTCAGGGAGGGCAAGCATCCAACCACGTGGTGAATTTGCCAGGGCAATGATATCGGGGCTCCACCCAAAGCCAAAAAGCTCGGGCGGGAAAACATCACCGATCGGGTCGGTTCGGAACATAACCAGTGGTGATTCACCACCAACGACGCACTGGGCTGGGAATGGAGAACGGGACCTGCCCGATCTACAAACTCTTCTGTTCGGCTGCCCGAATCCGAAGAATTCCGGAAATTGGATGCTTGGAGCTGGTGGCCTGCCGTGTAAACCAATGGCATAATCTGAGACACCGCGTACGCATTCCATCAAGGGAAAAGAAAATCGAGCATAATCGGGTCTGGAACATGATTGGTTACTAAAATCCCGCTGGCACTATGCAATCCTGTTGGGTGTGTTGAGGCGCCACAACTAGTGCAACTACAGTAATTGACCCTTCATTGTTTACTGCCCCAGGCGTAAATTACTTCACCAAAAAGATTGCATGAAGCTACTAACCCTTCTGTTGGTTGGACGATAGTGGTTTTATGATATGGAATGCGATACACCGTAAGATGGTGTGACAATACTTTCTTGTCTAAAGACGTCCACATTGCGATAAAACGTGCCGAAAATCTAGCATTCCCATACCGTTGCCCTGCAAGAAAATGACGACACATTCGATAGGGTATGAGCCATCTCATGTCCTACTTCACATCTGATGGTACAAGAAATCATATGCGATGGAAGGCCCACTACTGACACTTGCCACAACAGTGGCACACGGAATGGGATGTGAGAAAAAAGTTAACAAACAAAGCACAGGTGTGATGTATTGATGAATAACACCAACAAATACACATAAGAATGCCTACAGTAAAACAAGTTTTTTTCGAAATCAGGAAACCTGAATTTGAACCTATAACAAGGTCAAACCCTTCTGAAACGACTCAAAACCAGGAGCCAGAGCGCACCTGCGATTGGCTGAAGAGCGTAACCATGTGCTCCATCTGCCGCTGCTTGTTTCAAACAATGACTGTTCAGTCAACTCAAAGCCAAACGCCAAAACTCACCTATGATTGGCTGAAGGGCATGATCATGTTCTCCGTCTGCTGCTCGCTCCACAAAATGACTTTGGAATGGACTCAGAAGCCCAACGACATTCGAATCCACTGTGAATCCAAATCGCACCTGTGATTGGCTGAAGAGCGTGACCATGTCCTCCACCTGCTGCTCGCTCCACAGGAAAGAGTGCACTGCTGCCAGCCTGGCCACGTCAGCAGCTGTTATGCGTCCCTCACCATTGGCTGGATAGGATGAATTGGGAGCCGGGGGGTTGCGGGGGGTTGCGGGGGGTTGAGGGGGGTTGCGGGGGGTTGAGGGGGTTTGGCCAGATCAAAGGGGGTGCTCTCTCTCACACCATCCAGAGCGAAGCAGAGCGAGTCGGCCTTGCGTGCAAGCACAACCATGTGTGTGCCTGTGCGCATGTGCGAGAGTATGCTGCGTGTCGGGTGTGCTCTATCACAAACACCATTGAAAGTCAAGTAGAGAGTGAGTCAGCTTCGTGCGTGCGCATGCAAGCACAACCATGTGTGTGCCTGTGCGCACGTGCTAACACACACCATTGAAAGTCAAGTAGAGAGTGAGTCAGCTTCGTGCGTGCGCATGCAAGCACAACCATGTGTGTGCCTCTGCGCACGTGCTAACACACACCATTGAAAGTCAAGTAGAGAGTGAGTCAGCTTCGTGCGTGCGCATGCAAGCACAACCATGTGTGTGCCTGTGCGCATGTGCTAACACACACCATTGAAAGTCAAGTAGAGAGTGAGTCAGCTTCGTGCGTGCGCATGCAAGCACAACCATTTGTGTGCCTGTGCGCATGTGCTAACACACACCATTGAAAGTTAAGTAGAGAGTGAGTCAGCTTCGTGCGTGCGCATGCAGGTGCGTGAAAGTGCACGTGTGTTATAAAATGACAAGCAACTCTCTCTCTCACACACCATCGAGAGTGAAATCGAGCGAGTCGGCCTCGTGTGTTCACATGCTCGTGTGTTCACATGCTCGTGTGCTCACATGCTCGTGTGTTCACATGCTCGTGTGTTCACATGCTCGTGTGTTCACATGCTCGTGTGCTCACATGCTCGTGTGCTCACATGCTCGTGTGTTCACATGCTCGTGTGTTCACATGCTCGTGTGTTCACATGCTCGTGTGTTCACATGCTCGTGTGTTCACATGCTCGTGTGTTCACATGCTCGTGTGCTCACATGCTCGTGTGCTCACATGCTCGTGTGTTCACATGCTCGTGTGTTCACATGCTCGTGTGTTCACATGCTCGTGTGTTCACATGCTCGTGCGCTCACATGCTCGTGCGCTCACATGCTCGTGACTTCACATGCTCGTGTGTTCACATGCTCGTGCGCTCACATGCTCGTGCGCTCACATGCTCGTGCGCTCACATGCTCGTGCGTTCACATGCTCGTGCGTTCACATGCTCGTGCGTTCACATGCTCGTGCGTTCACATGCTCGTGCGTTCACATGCTCGTGCGTTCACATGCTCGTGCGTTCACATGCTCGTGCGTTCACATGCTCGTGCGTTCACATGCTCGTGCGTTCACATGCTCGTGCGTTCACATGCTCGTGCGTTCACATGCTCGTGCGTTCACATGCTCGTGCGTTCACATGCTCGTGCGTTCACATGCTCGTGCGTTCACATGCTCGTGCGTTCTGCAGCTCTGACTTCACGTGGGCGAGAGCCTCAGTGTCAGCAGTGGCAAAAACCAAGTCGTCGATGTACACGAGGATGTAGAACGGCGGCAGTGAAGTGTCGGTGCGCAGAAACAGCGACGGGTCAGCAGTAGAAGGCGCAAACCCAAGAGCCGCAAGCGTAGTCCTCAGTGTGTCGTGCCACTCACGTGGCGCCTGGCGGAGACCGTAGACCGGCCGCCGGAGGCTCCACTGGGTGCCAGGAGGGAACGACCCAGTGAAGCCCGGGGGGCGGCGCAGCCAGATCTCCTCGTGCAGGCTGCCCTGCAAGAAAGCTGTGCTGAAGTCAAGAGAGTGAAGCTCGTAGTCACGGTGAGCAGCAACATGCAGCAGCACCCGAAGAGTGGTCATCTTCGGGGTGGGGGAGAAGGTCTGGAAGAAGTCAACTCCCTCTCGCTGACTGAAGCCTCGAGCCACGTAATGCGCCTTGAAGACAGGCGGAGAACCCGGCGGCCGCTTCACCCTGAAAATCCACATGCCACTGACGATGTTCGCCCCAGGTGGGGGAACCTCGTCGACATAGGTGCGTGTGGACTTCCAGGAAGCCATCTCTGCGTCCATGGCTGCCTGCCACTGAGAGGAGTAGGGACCCTCTATCGCCTCTGCGTAAGAGCGCGGAGTCGGGATGTCTGGTGCATCCGGGTCTCCCTCAGGGGCAAGTAGCGAGGACACAAGATGAGGTAAAGCAGCAGCAAGACACTGGAACTCCTCCTGCCTGTCCTCAAGGACGTCCGTGCTAAGAGCACACTCACCCCCGACGGACGGAGGACAGACAGACTCATACTCAGTAACAAGACTGGCAGTCAAGTCTAGACGACAGGCAGCAGCAAAGTCAACAAGCTCAGCGACAAGAGCAGACGCAGCAGCAGACTCAAACGACGGGTCAGTGACAACTGTGGCTAGCAGACGCGTGACAGTAGGGTGCTCAGCACGAAACCGGTCAGACGCAGGGTCCGGAACGTCAGGCAACGAGGACGCAGGAGGAGACGGCAGAGGAACAGGCTGCGGAGCAGAGGAAGGACGACGGACTACGAGGTGTGCGCTGGGGACAGCCGGCTGACGCGAGCGAGGAACACGACGACCGGTACGACCAGGACGAGCAGGCGAGACAGGACGCGACGCAGGCTCACGACGCTCAGCAGGACTACCAGTCTGCTCAGTGTAAGGAGAAGGAGCAGGCAGCGGTGAGCCAGGCTGTAACGGAAGACCAGTAGACGACGGGAGAGTAAGAACCTGACGAAGAGCAGAGTCAGACGGCGGCAGAGACGACGGAGACGGTGGAGCGAAGAACAGTCGTGTCGGCGCAGCTGCGCCAGTACCGGCAGCTCCAGCAGCTCCAGTACCTCCAGCAGCTCCAGCACCTCCAGCAGCTCCAGTCCCAGAACCGACACCTCCAGTCCCAGGGTCTCCAACCTCAGTGTCTCCAGCAGCAGCACCCCCAGAACCAGCACCCCAAGCCCCAGCAGCTCCAGTACCCCCAGGACGAGCACCTCCGGAACCAGCGACTCCAGCAGTAGAGCCCCGGGCACCAGCAGTGCGACCCTGACGGCGACCGTACTGGTCCTGCAGCTGCTGTGAGGTGAGAGGCACACGTGGACGAAGGCGGCTACTCCAAGGAGACCGCGCAACAGCAGACTCAGAACCCTCAGCGCCAGCACCCCCAGGCTCCTCACGCGTAGGCTCAGTACCCGTAGACTCGGCACCCCCAAGCTCAGCACCTCCAGGCTCCTCACGCGCAGGCACAGCACCCCCAGACTCCGCACCCCCAGGCTCAGCACCTCTAGGCGCCTCTCGCTCAGGCTCCGCACCCCCAGGCTCAGCACCCCCAGAGACAGCACCCCGAGCAGGACCACCTCCAGCAGGACCTGAGTCACCAGTGACCTCAACAGGCACAGGTACCGGAGGGTCTACCTGAGAAACACCTGAAGGAGCAGGACCTGGCGCGGGGAGGGGGTCTACCTGGGGAGGACCTGGAGCGAGAAAGAGCGGCGGGGGGGGGCGAGAGGCAGTGCGGTAGGGAAAGAGACGGTAGAAGGGAACAGACTCGTCAAAGGTGACGTCCTGAGACGCAAAGACACGGCGCGAGGTGGGGTCGTAAAACTGCCAGCCAGGCGCGTCAGGAGGAAAACCAAGGAAGACGCAGGGAACGGCGCGAGCAGAGAGCTTGTCCGCGGTGAGATCGCGGACAAAGGCACGAGCACCCCAGACCCGGAAACGCGACGCATCGCCAACCTCCCCCGTCCACAGCAGCGTGGGCGAGGTCTCCGGCAAGGAGACACGGGGCCAGAGGTTGAGCTGATGCGCGGCGTACCGGACCGCGAACGGCCACAGAAAATGGGGAGCCGCCGCATGGATCATGGAGGTACGAGCGACCTCCATGACTAAGCCAATGCGGCGCTCAGCAACCCCATTCTGCTGCGGAGAGGCCGGAAGCGTGAACGACTGGGTAATGCCGTGCTCCGCACAGAAGGCTGCCAAGAGGTCAGAGGAGAACTCACCACCTCTGTCAGAGTGCAGACGCAGGACAGGGAAGTCCCGCTCAAACCGCTCGCGGAGCTGGAGACGCACAGCGCGGATCCAGGGGATCAAAACAGCAGGGACGTCCCCCTTGCTGCGCAAGGGGAAGACCGTGGTGTAACGCGTGTAGTCGTCGACAACCAGCAAAAAGTACCGCTCACGGCCCTGTCCCTGGACGCGGGCTGGGCCCCACACGTCCAGGTGGAGCGTCTGCAGGGGAGCCTCTGTGGGAGGAAACGAGGAGGAGTGAGGAGCGGCGCGCTGCCGCCCCTCGACGCAGGGAATGCAGGGCGGCGCAGGCGAGGGAGGGAGGGCAGGCAGAGACCTGGGGAGACCAGAGACTAGGGAGCGAGAGTGCATGCCACGAAGGCGAGGAAGGGAGGGGTGACCAAGGCGGTGGTGCCACAGAAGCGTGTCGTGCGACAGGCGGCGGCACTCACACTGGGTAGCTACCTGAGCAGACGCGTACAGCTGAGGAGACAAAGGAGTGGAGCGTGAAACAGTGGTGAGGGTGTACAGACTAGACCCCGGCTCACGAGTGAACGTGGCCAGGTGGCGGCCAGTCTTGGAGCACGTGCAGATCGCCACACGCTGCCCTCCAGGAGTCCAGGTGTCAACCCAGTGATCCTGGAGGACGGCGTTGCTCACCAGGTTCGTAGAGAACGAGGGAACGTGGAGACCTGACAGCTCACCAGACGGGACCGCCGGGCACGAGAGCACAGTCGTGGCTCGTGCAAGCACTGGGCCCCCAGAGGGGTCAGCCAGTGAGACAGGGACAGGTGCAGGGAGGGGAGTGACGGTGGTGCTATCGCGAAAGAAACAGCGGGAAGCACCAGAGTCAAGTGTAAACGTGTGCAAGGCCTGAGTCGACTCAGTACCACGGGGAGCAGACTCACTAGCACCTAGGGCTGCAGCCCTTATACCGGGGTCAATACCAGGATCAGGCGGCACACACAAGTAGCAGTCACCCTCAGCACTAATAGTCAATGCATACATAGCAGCAAGAATAACATCATAGTCCAGATCAAAGATAGGCACATCACGCCTAAGCAGCTCGGCCCAGTTGGGGAACTCAGTAGCATCAGGATACTTGGCACGCCAGGCGTCACTAAGCCTGGCAAAACAACGATACTCAGTGTGAAAACCGTTGCAGGGGCGACCCTTGCGGGGGCCAGTACGAATGACATAGGGGCAGCGGTCAGAACCCCGAGACGCCCCACGCCCAGCATACCAGTCATTGAGCTGCTGGGAGGTGAGGGGAGGAAGCTGCTGCTGCTGCTGTGGCTGCTGCTGCTGCTGGCCACCCTTCTGGCCAGATCCACCCCCACTCCCACCTCCACCGCCACTGCCGCTGCCTCCTCCCCCACCACCGCCGCCGCCGCCTCCACCGCCCCCGGTCCTGCCGCCACCCCACCCACCGCCTCCACCCCCACGTCCACCCCCACCACCTCCACCACCCCCGCCGCCTCCACCACCGCTCCCTCCACCGCCACCTCCGCCACCCCTGC